CGGGCTGGCCGTGCATACCACTGTCGCAAACAGCGACTGACGTCTATTGCTCAGAAAGTCACACTGCATAGGCTCATCCACCACTGGGCAATTAGCTGCAATATGTCCCTCTTGCCGGCAGCGGTAACAAATACATTTTTTCGCTGCTTCTTGCGGCCTTGGCCTTCCTGGCCGCTCTTGCCAGACATTGGGTAATACTCCCACCCTCTCACTCTCTCCACCCTCACCCCTTGTAGTCATCTTACCCTCCGCTGGGGATGGTCTGGTCTTAGGATGGAAAGTCCGTGAGTCTCTGGATGAGGAGGTCAGGTTCTCAGTAGCCAAGTATCTCTCCACTAGATCCACCAGCTTGTCTGCAGTCTCTGGGTCTCCATGGCTCACCCACTTTTGAATAGCATTAGGCAGAGACCTTAGGAACCGATTTATGACGACCCGTTTCACAATTTTTGGGGCGGTCAAAGTCTCTGGCTGCAGCCTCTTCCTGCTCAGGTGAATGAGATCATACATCTGTGACCTGGCAGGTTTCCCAAGCCGAAAAGTCCAATTATGTACCAGCTGAGCACGGACAGCGAGGGTAACACCAAATCGGGCCAAAATTTCTGCTTTTAGCACATCGTAGTTTTTGGCCTGGTCCGGCTCCAGGTCATAGTAAGCTTTTTGCAACTCTCCAGTTAATAATGGGGCCATCAATCCAGCCCACTGTTCTTTAGGCCACTTTTCACTTTCAGCAGTCCGTTCAAATGTGGTTAGAAACACCTCAGGATCATCATCTCCAGTCATTTTTGGCAATAAACGACCCACACAAAATGATGGTGTATTCCCAGAATTATTACCAGCCTCAGTCTGTTGCCTCTGCTGGAGCTGCTTCACGACGGCCTCCAGGGCTTTCTGCTGGGCTGCAATGCTCTGCTGGAGACTTGCATTAGTCTGTTGCTGATTGGCATTCGCCAGAGCCAACTGTCTTATTATCTCCTCCATGCTGGCCTTTATTTACCACAACTGCCCGCATCCTCCACCATATGTAATGGGGTTAGCTCGGCAGCGGGTGTGTGTGACCCCCTGGATGGGTGCACAACACAAAAAGATAGGCACAGCACAACAATAGCGGAGGTGAAAACAAACAGGTCATGTCAGAGAAATATTACCAAATCATGTCAGAGAAATATTATATTTCATAATCTATAGATTTGGTCAACAAAAGCAGATTCATTAATGTACAAGGCTCATTGGTGGGTTGTGCTGTAACTATAGTAAATGTATATACACAAAATGAGCCCAAAGTCTATTTCTCTAAACATTTAATTAAACTTTTAGAATGTTATCAATCTGCTCACATGTTTGTAGGGAGGATTTTAACCTAGTGTCTCACCTCTCATTAGATAGAAGCAGAGTTGTGGGTTCAAGCAAAGTTTTCCCGAAATCCCTGAGGAGATCCTTACAGATGTTTCAACTCCTAGATTCATGGAGGGCTCTGACTATAGGAAAGAGGTTTACCCTAACCTTCATGATACAGTAGCTATACACATTTAGACTATTTTCAGCTTCCTGATACTTTTGGCCAACTCTTCCTCAGCGGTAATACTTTTCTGCCCCTGGTTGGACCACCATATTATCTTTTTTACTCCTACCAATACTTGCCTCTCACCCACCACCCCATTCTTTTGTAGAATTAACAATTCCATTTTATCTGATAAAGCCAACTTTCATATACTATTGAAATACCTGGAGGCTTATTTTAAATTAAAAGACCAAGAGGGCACCTCCATCACCTTTTTGTGGATGGCACATAGTGATGAGGGACATTTGATTAATATTGTCACTACCAGGAAAAAAAGCTAAACTTTCTGAAATTATCACCCTTAATAGGGCACTCAATAAGTTTTATCTCCTTTACAACAAATAGCATTCCGTGAAGTAATGAGACAGTTCCAGCAAAGACAGGGAGCCTTGGACAATATTCGGAGGATACATAAAGAATAGAGATGAGCGAATCGAACATGACGAAGTGGAATTCGTTTCAAATATTAGGAAAAATTTGATTCGCGCCAAATCCGAAAATTAGCAAACTTCGGATGCACAAATCGAATTTTCCCCGATCGGCCGATTTTCATCCCTTCTACAGCCGGCAAAAAGTGTCCCTGCAGAGAGCTCCGCTATTTCTGACAGTTCTCTGACAGTTCCTTCACATTTACAGCGGTTGAAACATTGTATCTATTTGTTTCCATTTAGGATACAGATGTTTTTATTCGGAAACAAATAGATACAATGTTTCAACCGCTGTAAATGTGAAGGAACTGTCAGAGAACTGTCAGAAATAGCGGAGCTCTCTGCAGATACACTTTTTGCTGGACTGGAATTCTTCTTATTTTCATCCTACTTCTTCTTCTTCTTCTTCTTCTTCTTCTTCTTCTTCATCCTCATCCTCTTCTTCTTCTTCTTCTTCTTCTTCTTCTTCTTCTTCTTCATCCTCATCCTCTTCTTCTTCTTCTTCTTCTTCATCCTCATCCTCTTCCTCTTCTTCTTCTTCTTCTTCTTCATCCTCATCATCTTCTTCATCCTCATTATCTTCTTCTTCATCCTCATCCTCTTCTTCTTCTTCATCCTCATCCTCTTCTTCTTCATCCTCATCCTCCTCCTCTTCTTCTTCTTCTTCTTCTTCTTCTTCTTCTTCTTCTTCTTCTTCTTCTTCATCATCCTCATCCTCTTCTTCTTCTTCTTCTTCTTCTTCTTTTTCTTCTTCTTCTTCTTCCTCACCATCATCCTCTTCTTCTTCATCATCCTCATCCTCTTCTTCATCCTCATCCTCTTCTTCTTCTTCTTCTTCTTCTTCTTCTTCTTCTTCTTCTTCTTCTTCTTCTTCTTCTTCTTCTTCCTCTTCATCCTCATCCTCCTCCTCTTCTTCTTCTTCTTCCTCATCCTCATCCTATTCTTCTTCTTCTTCATCCTCATCCTCTTCTTCTTCTTCTTCATCCTCATCTTCTTCTTCTTCTTCATCCTCATCCTCTTCTTCTTCTTCTTCATCCTCATCCTCTTCTTCTTCTTCTTCTTCTTCTTCTTCTTCTTCTTCTTCTTCTTCTTCTTCATCCTCATCCTCTTCTTCTTCTTCTTCTTCTTCTTCTTCTTCTTCATTCTCATCTTCTTCTTCTTCTTCTTCATCCTCATCCTCTTCTTCTTCTTCTTCTTCTTCTTCTTCTTCTTCTTCTTCATCCTCATCTTCTTCTTCTTCTTCTTCTTCATCCTCATCCTCATCCTCTTCTTCTTCTTCTTCTTCTTCTTCTTCTTCTTCTTCATTCTCTTCTTCTTCTTCTTCTTCTTCTTCTTCTTCTTCATTCTCATCTTCTTCTTCTTCTTCATCCTCTTCCTCTTCTTCTTCTTCTTCTTCTTCTTCTTCTTCTTCTTCTTCATCCTCATCTTCTTCTTCTTCTTCATCCTCATCCTCTTCTTCTTCTTCTTCTTCTTCTTCTTCTTCTTCTTCCTCATCCTCTTCTTCTTCTTCATCCTCATCCTCTTCTTCTTCATCCTCATCCTCTTCTTCTTCTTCATCCTCATCCTCCTCTTCTTCTTCTTCTTCTTCTTCTTCTTCTTCTTCATCATCCTCATCTTCTTCTTCTTCTTCATCATCATCCTCATCCTCACCATAATCCTCTTCTTCTTCTTCTTCATCCTCATCCTCTTCTTTATCCTCATCCTCTTCTTCTTCTTCATCCTCATCCTCATCCTCTTCTTCTTCTTCCTCATCCTCATCCTCTTCTTCTTCATCCTAATCCTCTTCTTCTTCTTCATCCTCATCCTGTTCTTCTTCTTCATCCTCATCCTCTTCTTCTTCTTCTTCATCCTCATCCTCTTCTTCTTCATCCTCATCCTCTTCTTCTTCTTCATCCTCTTCTTCTTCTTCTTCTTCTTCTTCTTCATCCTCATCCTCCTCTTCTTCTTCTTTCTTCATCATCACCCTCATCCTCTTCTTCTTCTTCATCCTCTTCTTCTTCTCCTTCTTCTTCATCCTCATCCTCTTCTTCTTCTTCTTCATCCTCATCCTCTTATTTCTTCTTCTTCTTCATCCTCATCCTCTTCTTCTTCTTCTTCTTCTTCTTCTTCTTCATCCCCATCCTCTTCTTCTTCTTCTTCTTCATCATCCTCATCCTCCTCTTCTTCTTCTTCTTCTTCTTCTTCATCCTCATCCTCTTCTTCTTCTTCATCCTCATCCTCTTCTTCTTCTTCCTCTTCCTCATACTCTTCTTTTTCATCCTCTTCTTCCTCTTCTTCTTCTTCATCCTCTTCTTCATCCTCTTCCTCTTCTTCTTTTTCTTCTTTTTGTCTTCCTCTTGCAGGTCACTGCTCATGCGCAGATTTTTTATCGGCAAAAAATCGTCCGATTTGCCCACTATTGCCGCGAAAATCGGCCGATCGGCAAAATCAGCCGATTTTTTTTCCAACTTTACAGAAAAAAAAACGGCCAAAATACCGAAAAAACGGCCGACCAAATAGCCCACTAACGATCCGAAAATCGGCCGATTTTATTTTCGGCCGAAAAAACGGCCGATTTTCGACCCATCTATGGTCTGCATTAGGGCCACAGAGACTTTAGGGCCACAGAATCGTTACTCAGGGACACAGAATCGTTACTCAGGGACACAGAATTGTTACTCAGGGACACAGAATCGTTACTCAGGGACACAGAATCGTTACTCAGGGACACAGAATCGTTACTTAGGGCCACAGCTATCAAAGAATCGAAAATTTAAAGTGACATACACCCTTTTTTTTTTTGGTGGCTGTCGTGCACAGTTGGTGCTGCAGTTTGCCGATTGTGCAAAATAAACTGACTTTCTGCTTCACAACCACTATTGTACGTTCAAAGAGTTAAATCCATTTACACGCCGGCTGGCGGTAATATTTTTTGGGTGATTAGTGCATTCCAGTGACACAAACGTACAGTTTCCAGCCAACGGCAAGCTGCAATTGACCGATTGTGCTAAATAAACTGACTTTCTGCTTCACAACCACTATTGGCCTTCAATTGAAGCTGCTTCTGCTCCGCCACTCTGCCATTGGACTCTTGATAGTCGTCTCCCCACACTGCTGCTGGGGGGACTTTTTAACATAGGCCTGTGTATGGCCTTCAATTTTAGCTGCTTACGTTCCGCCACTCTGCCATGGGCCCCTGTACCGCCTCCTCATGCTGCTGCCAGGCCCGTAATCTGCCATGGGCCCCCGTACCGACTCCTCATGCTGCTGCCAGGCCCGTAATCTGCCATGGGCCCCCGTACCGACTCCTCATGCTGCTGCCAGGCCCGTAATCTGCCATGGGCCCCCGTACCGCCTCCTCATGCTGCTGCCAGGTCCAGAGTGTGTCATGGGTCCCTGTACGGCCTCCCATTGCTGCTGTCTCCATCGCCACACTCTGCCATGTGCCACTTTCAGGTCTCCTCACACTGCTGGTGGGTTCCATTTTGTCATAGGGTGCTGTATGGCCTCCCATTGCTGCTGCCTCCACCGCCACACTGTGGCTCCACACTCTGGTTTTGGCCCCGTGACTGCCCAAATGAGTGAAGTGTGCGGTGATTCTAAGATCGACGGCACTCATCTGCATGTCATACTGACTGACAGTATTATTTCTCTTCCCCAGCAGACTCCAAGGGCATTCAAATTAAAGGTACAGTGTTCTGCACTAATATAAAGGCTCTTTGAAGCCTAGAAACACCCTTTTATAAGTTAAATTCGCAGCAAATAAATTTGCATCGAATCGAATTTATTCCGCAAATTCGGCGAATCAGCCGAATCAAATTTTTGAATAATTCGCTCATCTCTAATAAAGAACACTGAAATACTCAAAAACTAAATTCTTGCTGCACAGCACTTATGCCTCTTCCATTTTTTTAAAGAAACTTAACCAATCTATTAAAACACTATTTCTGAGATTTCCAGTTTCAGTGCCGTATGGAGCGGAGGTGAGCCGTCCCTGCTCCTGCCACTCTCCTCCACCACTGTGATCCCACGCCTTCTACAATTTGGGGGCCAACCCCCCTTTCTGCCCGCAGCTTTGTGGGAACATATGGACCGCTTTGTGGAGCGGTCCCACACCTGCTTCTTTTCTGTCCCCTGCTTGTCACAGGGGGACACAGTGGCCACCGCTGCCCACATTCACACTGACACAGGGGATCAACAGAGCCCACAGCAGCCACAGCCTCCTACTCCTCAGCCTCCGAACCCTGCCTCACCAGCGGGCATTGCAAACACAGTCATGGCACTCCTAACACCTACTCTCATGGCAGCGGTCGACAGTGCTGTTCTTAAAGGGCTAGAACAGCTACATAAAGATCTCCATGCACAGGCTCAGCACATTACATTAGAGGAGATACGATCTCTGTTGAAGATGACTCATTGACTGTTTCTGCTGCGGTAGCCTGACTCACCATGGTCCCAAGAGGTCTCCAAGATAGGTATATGATCTAGAAAACCACTCACGGTGGAACAATTTGCACATCATAGGCCGAGATGCATTCTCCCTCCATGCTGCTCGATATATGTGCTACGTCCATTCCAGAGCACCTAGGCCTGCGACAACCTGTCTTATCCTGCTGTTCTTCATATCCAGCGGTTGGATGGAGAAAGGCTTTCCTTCACTTAGCTGTTGGAAGCAGCTACCTCAACAATATCCTTAGAGCAGCCATGGATCAAAGTCCTTCTTCTGCACCATTTTCCTCCTTCCCCCTAAAGGGGAAATTCCGCTCCCTTCCAGAATCAAACGAGTCCCCAAAGCCACCAGATAAAACGGGTGAGCTTTAGTCGGGCCGAAGACCTCTACGTTACCCGCTGACCTGTTTCATCAGATGTTAATATGTGATGTAAAAGGTTTTCTTTGTTTGTATGTGCCTTCTCAGGGACTGTTGCAATTTGTCCTATAATGGATAATGTTTGGTTCTTGTCTGTCTTATTTCATGCCTCCACTGTGGCTATCCGCCCTGCACACCTATCCCCTTGGATGGGCGACAAGGGTCCTCAGGTTATTTTCCCCCTTTTGACATTCCCTCTTCCCTCTCCCTCCCCCTACTCCTGCCACCCCTCCCTTCCCCCTTCCCCCCCTTACCCCTCCCCACCGCGTATATGTTGCTGTCCAAGACAGTAGTGGAGTGTCGAGTGCAGGAGCTTCGCTAGATTGCTCTATGTGGAAAAACATGAAGTTCTTGATTTACCTGGGGAGCTTCTCCCCATTTGTTAGAAAAGTTCTGTTCTTATTGTTTTGCATTGTTGTCTTTCACTGTTGCATTTCCCTAGGTACTGAACATTGTTCCGATCAACCTGGAATCATTGGGGTGAGGCCTGGCCTGGTTCTGCCTTATTGTAGGCCTTATAGAATTTTCATACTATGACAGACATGGCTCCACCTGATGACAGGGATCACTTGAAGGTAATCTCATGGAATGTTAAGGGCAGGGGCGGACTGACAACTCATGTGGCCCCCGGGCAATAGGGGATCATGGGGCCCCTGTGTCCTTGCCCACACTCAAACCACACCCAAAAAAGCCTATGAAAGGTATCAGGGACATCTCATGGGGCCCTCTACTGACCCTGGTCCCCGGTGCCTGAGTTCCCCAATGGTCAGTCTGCCCCTGGGTAAGGGGCTACGCTTACCGAACAAGCGTATGCAAGTACTATGCTATTTGAAACATTTGGGGGCAAATGTGGCTCTTTTGCAGGAGACACATCTCTCTTCCAGTGATCTTTCCCATCTTTCAAGACTTTGGGAGGGTCAGCTGTATGGTTCTTCAGTCGTAAAACGGGGGTAGCTATACTATTCCACAAACATTTTTGTTACACTGTTCACTCTGTTAATTCTTATTATGAGGGTCGCAGACTTACTGTCCATATTACTATCGCCTCTGCTGACATTGCTGTCTCTACTCTATACAAAATCTTGTCATATCCTGGGTGGGGACTTCAATGCAGTTATGCACAATGTTATTGACCGAAACAGAGATCATCCCACATGATGTTCTGGACAACTGCCTCAGTGCCCCCCCCCCTTACCAGAGCCAAGCTTTTTTGTGCCATTCGCGGCCACAGCTGTTAATCATTGGGTCCCACCCAGTGATTACCGATGATCTCCAATGGGGAGGAGAACTGTTTTACAGTCCTCTTCCCTGTCAGCTCGGGCACACTGCTCTGAATGGCTGTGCACAGCACAGCCATCCAAAGCAGCCTGCTTAGAGAGAAGCAAACAGACACCAACCCCTAGTAAAACACATCCAGCACCCAGTTAACCCTTTGATCGCCTCTCATGTTAACCCCTTCCTGTCCAGTGACACCAAGTCAGTTCCCCCCAGTGTCAGAATGTCAGCCGCAGTCCCACAGTCCTGCTATAAGCCACTGATCACTGCCGTTACTAGTAAAAATTAATTTAAAAAACTCCAGTATATATATATCGTCATTTGTAAACACTATAACTTTCATGTAAACCAATTAATTTACATGTATTGGGATTTTTTTTTTTTAGCAAAGACATGGAGCAGAATATATTTTGGCCTAAATTTATGCCTAAATTTGATTTTTAAAATTTTTTAATTGGACATGTTTAATAGCAAAAAGTCAAAAATATTGTTTTTTTTTCTCAAAAATGTCGGCCTTTTATTTAAAAAATGTCCAGTATCACAAGACAACAGTTCTCTCCACAATGCCAATGTGCCTATTGTTTGCTCCATTTGCAGATATACCCTTGTCATGTAAGCAACTTTACACACAATAATGATGCAGTTCACTAGCCCTAAACTGGTGCTCTCCTTCAGCCCCCTGGTCTCAGATCATATACAGTACCTCCCAATTCATTGACAATTTTTAATAGGAAGTGGGATTACTGGTCGACTTATTGAACCCAATAATTTTTATGTATGTACAGTTGCAAGAAAACGTATGTGAACCCCTTGAGATTACGTGGAGTTTTGCATGAATTGGGCATCAAATGTGCTCTGAACATCATCTAAGTCACAACAATAGAAGAACACAGTCTGCTGAACATAATACTACACAAACATTAGATGTTGCCATAGTTTAATTGCACATAACATGTAAACATTCACAGTGCAGGGAGGAAAAAGTATGTGAGGCCCTAGCTTAATGACTTCTCCCAGAGCTAATTGGAGCCAGGAGTGAGCCAACCTTGACTCCAATCAGTGTGATGATATTGGATGTGTTGCTGACAGCTGTCCTGCCCTTAAAAAACACACACCTGTTTTGGGTTTACTGGTTTCAAGAAGCACTGTCTGATGTGAACCATGCCTCGCAGAAAAGAGCTCTCAGAAGACCTACGATCAAGAATTGTTTACTTGCATGAAGCTGGAAAGGGTTACAAAAGTATCTCCAAAAGCCTTGATGTTCATGTGTCCACGGTAAGACAGAATGTCTACAAATGGAGAAAGTTTAGCACTGTTGCTACTCTCCCTAGGCGTGGTCGTCCTGTAAAAATGACTGCAAGAGCACAGCGCAGAATGCTGCATGAGGTAAAGAAGAATCCCAGAGTGTCAGCTAAAGTCCTACAGAAATCTCTGGCACATGCTAACATTTTTGTTGACACATCTACAATAAGGAAAACATTAAACAAGAATGGAGTACATGGGAGGACACCACGGAGGAAGCCATTGCTGTCCAAAAAGAATATTGCAGCACGTTTGAAGTTTGCAAAAGAGCACCTGGATGTTCCACAGCACTACTGGCAAAATATACTGTGGACAGATGAAACCAAGATTGAGTTGTTTGGGAAGAACACAACACTATGTGTGGAGAATAAAAGGCACAGCACACCAACATCAAAACCTCATCCCTACTGTGAAACATGGCGGAGGGAGCATCATGGTTTGGGGCTGCTTTGCTGCCTCAGGGCCTGGACAGATTGTTGTCATTGATGGGAAAATGAATTCCAGAGTTTATCAAGACATTTTGCAGGAAAACGTATGACCATCTGTCCGCCAACTGAAGCTCCGCAGAGGATGGGTGATGCAACAGGACAATGACCTAAAGCATACAAGTAATTCAACAAAACAATGGCTGCAACAGCACAGAATCTGCCTTCTGGAGTGGCCCAGTCAGAGTCCTGACCTCAACCCGATTGAAATGCTGTGGCATGACCTTAAGAGAGCGATTCACACCAGACATCCCAAGAATATTGCTACACTGAAACAGTTTTGTGAAGAGGAGTGGTCCAAAATGACTCCAGATCGTTGTGCAGGTCTGATCTGCAACTACAGGAAACGTTTGGTTGAGGTTATTGCTGCCAAAGGAGGGTCAGCCAGTTATTAAGTCCAAAGGTTCACATACTTTTTCCTCCCTGCACTGTGAATGTTTACATGTTATGTGCAATTAAACCATAGCAACATATAATGTGTGTGTAGTATTATGTTCAGTAGACTGTGTTCTTCTATTGTTGTAACTTAGATGACGTTCAGAGCACATTTTATGCCCAATTCATGCAAAACTCCACGTAATCCCAAGGGGTTCACATACTTTTTCTTGCAACTGTACTTATTATGTTCAAAGGATGCTTTTTCCCTTTGAGGATAGATCACATGTACATTATGATAATATTTCACATATCTTCTGTACACTGTACATCTGTAACAAGGATTTTTGCTACTGCACTATTTGACTTGCACATGTCTCTATTACAGAGTTGTCTCTGAACTATGTGATAGGTACAAGAACCATACATAAAGAGTACAGCTTCTCCATGTTCTTGCTGATACCTAATTATATTGAATATTCAACATGGAATGTAGTATGATTACATGATGCCCTTCATAAAATAGGAGCTTGGGGCATTACATGGCAGATGAGGTTCAATATTGAGTAAATATGTAAAAAGTTATATACTTAGGTTCCAAAAATATACATGCAAATTAAACATAAAGATGGAGGAATCAGTGTTGGAAAAGGATCTGGGGTGCTTGTAGATCATAGACATAGCAGTAGCATGCAATGCCAAGCCACAGATTACAAAGGAAGCAAAATATTCTCACACATTAAAAAGGGAGTGCATTCCAGAGATAAATCAATAATTATAATTCTTCATAATACACCGATTCAGCCTCATTTTGAATATGCGGTTCAATTTTGGTCACCCATCCTCAGGACAGACACTGAATTCAAAAGAGTTCAGTGAAGGGCTACAAAATTAATAAAGAAGGATGGAGGACCTCAGTTATGAGACAGCAGCAGTTAGAAGTTGCAAGGTTTGGACAAACCATTTACCACTGACAGGGGTACACACAATGGCCAGCCTTTATTCATTTATATAAGAGACAGAGAGATATTTATTGAAGAGACAGAGAGACATTTATGGAAGAGAGAGAATTGCTGTGCAGAATTGCTAAATCCTTAGGTTGTCAACAGATGGCCCTCTATTTTCAGCACAGTGCTGAAAAATGGAGAGCAACCAAGCATGTGCAGAGAAGGGTGGGAAAGTGTATTGCTGTATTTTAAACAGTATGGGTACCAGGGGCGGACTGAGCATTTGGAAACTCGGGCACTGCCCAAGGGCCCGGGGTCAGTAGGGGGCCCCATGAGATGCCCCTGGTACCTTTTTCATAGGCTTTTTTGAGTTTGGGCAAGGACACAGGAGCCCCATGATCCCCTATTGCCCGGGGGCCCCATGAGCTGTCAGTCCGCCCCTGATGGGTACTTATTTTTAATGTTTACATATCTATACCTGCAAAAGGCTCCAGCCCTAAAGTCCCACTTTAACCTTTAATAGGAATCATGACTATTTTCCAACATACCAACATACCATACAGTAGTATAACATGCAGAAAAAATTAATGGAACCCTAGGTAAACTAGATATTCCATAACATTGACTTCAAAAACCTAAAAAGCTTGCTTAGATATCATTTGTTCAATGATCACAGTATCTTTGCACTATGGCGTATTATTATTTGTACCAGTGGTGTTTTAGTGCTTAGCTGTTTATTTACCTAAAGTATTTCCTACTATCTATTTGTGTTCTATACAAGGGGTCTCCAGCTTTCTAAACAAAGGGCCAGTTTACTGTCCTTCAGACTTTACGAGGGCTGGCCTGTGACCAGTGGGAGTAGAAAAGGTCCGGACGTCAGTGGAAAAAAATAATGCCCCATTGTTCGGTATCAGTGGCAGGAATTCTGCTCCATCACTCATGTCCCTGGACAGTATCATTTGTGTCACTGGGAGGAGTTGTGCCCCATCGATGGTGTCATTGGAAGGAGTTGTGCCCTCTTCATTGATGTAAGTGGGAGGAATTATACTCAATTGTTGGTATCAGTAGATGAAATAGTACCCCAAGGGCCAGATGAAAGCAAGCAAAGGGCTTCATCTGGCTCCCGGGCCGCAGTTTGAAGATCACTGTTATACACCATCAGGGGTGGACTGACCATTCGAGCACTCGGGCACTGCCTGAGGGCCCGGGGTCAGTAGGGGGCCCCATGAAATGCCCCTGGTACCTTTTTTTAGGCTTTTTTGGGTGTGCTTTGAGTGTGGGCAAGGACACAGGGGCCCCATGATCCCCTATTGCCTGGGGGCCCCATGAGTTGTCAGGCCACCCCTGTACACCATCCTTTTATCACTGGTAAAATGCAAATGCTTTACAATACAGTACAATACCATTGCCCATTATAGAAATATAGGTCTTCTGTATTCATTCTAAAGGTACCTGTGTCTATTACAAATGTTTTAAATGTATGCTCTCTGTATGCCTGTAACAAAAATAAATAATTAAATAAAATTTAAAGATTGTCTTTTTCAAATGTTTTTTATTTTTTACACTTCCTTTAATGAAAGGTCCACTTTTCAGGGGAAAAAGTCCTAAATCTACAGCATGAGTAATGGATATAGAATTAAACAAATATCAGCAGAGTCTCTATAGGGTGTACAAGTAGAGATAAAGAAGGGGGGGGGGGGGGTGTGCCATGTCTCACAATGTAAATTTAGAACAAACTTTGGAAAGTAAATGGACTTTTTTTGGCACCTCAAGAAGTCACACAACATCCTGTTGAAATGTATCAAAAATGTATTTAAAAAATAGAAAAAGGTAAAAACCATAGAAATGTAAAAAAACAAGCATTAATATGGAGGCATACGGAAGTATACTATTGAATGCTTGGATTTTATAAGTCTATCATTATTACCATTTTCAATATGTTAAATACCGTATTTTTCGCCGTATAAGACGCACTTTTTCTTCCCCAAAACTGGGGGGGGGAAGTTGGTGCGTCTTATACGACGAATAGAGAGAGAATCCGTGAGGCGCGGCCACGGCCGTAGGAAAGGCCGCGGCTTTGGCCTATCTCTGGAGCGGTCGGCCATCTTAGTACACCCGGCGGTGCGCGCTGACGTCATCACCCCCTCTGCTCGTGGATCCTACCATAGCGCGGATCTACAACAACAGGTGAGGAGCGGGGCAATGCAATGTTACTGGCTATTATTACTAATGTGGGGGCAATGTTACTGGCTATTATTACTAATGTGGGGGCAATGTTACTGGCTATTATTACTAATGTGGGGGCAATGTTACTGGCTATTATTACTAATGTGGGGGCAATGTTACTGGCTATTATTACTATGTTGGGGGCAATGTTACTGGCTATTATTACTAATGTGGGGGCAATGTTACTGGCTATTATTACTAATGTGGGGGCAATGTTACTGGCTATTATTACTATGTTGGGGGCAATATTACTGGCTATTATTACTAATGTGGGGGCAATGTTACTGGCTATTGTTACTATGTTGGGGGCAATGTTACTGGCTATTATTACTAATGTGGGGGCTAATGTTACTGGCTATTATTACTAGTGTGGGGGCAATGTTACTGGCTATTATTACTAATGTGGGGGCAATGTTACTGGCTATTATTACTAATGTGGGGGCAATGTTACTGGCTATTATTACTAATGTGGGGGCAATGTTACTGGCTATTATTACTAATGTGGGGGCAATGTTACTGGCTATTATTACTAATGTGGGGGCAATGTTACTGGCTATTATTACTAATGTGGGGGCAATGTTGCACTGGAACAGTGATGGTGATGACGAGTGGGGGGCAATGGTGTACTTTACAGTGATGAGTGGGGGCAATGGTGGACATTACATGATGAGTGGGGGCAATGGTGGACATTACATGATGAGTGGGGGGCAATGGTGGATGATGTATTAAACAAAAAGACAAAACGTACCGGTATGTTTGTCTTGTTTTTTTTTTTACTGATCTGAAAAAGATCCGATCCGTGACTCCTGATCCGTGGAACGATCCGAACCATGAGTTCTTTCATTTCTGGATTTGTTACATGGTTGGCATAAAATTGTTCTTAAACTGCTGTTAACTTTATACAGTTGATATAAAATATTTTACTACTGTATTGGGTTCAGAATCTTTTTTTTTCTAGATTTTCCTCCTTTAAAATTGGGTGCGTCTTATATTCCGGAGCGTCTTATATGGCGAAAAATACGGTATATTTTTTGATACATTTTAATCTTATGTTGTGTGACTCCTTTGGATGCCAAAAAGTATACTTACTTTTACTTAAAGTTTCTTCTTTATGTAGATTGTGAGACACAGTACCCCCTTTGTCCACGTGTGGATATTTACTTTCTATAGTAATAAACCCAATATTTATACAGCTATTATCTGATTTTCAACTGAAAATGTAAATAGAATTTACTATATACACTGCGTCTAAAAGCTGCCTTAATATCTTTATTTCTCAAACTATATATGAAAGGATTTAAACATGGTATAAGCACGGTGTACAACAGGGCCAGTGTCTTCGTGATCATTTGTGAATGCTCTTCATTTGGAAGCACATACATGATAATTAAAGTTCCATAATACATAGACACAACCGTTAGGTGGGAGCTGCAAGTGGAAAAAGATTTCCATCTTCCTGAAAAGGACGAGATCTTTGATATGGTTAAAACAATAAATATATAAGAAATGACTATCACTAGGAAAGGTAAGATGATCACAGGAATGGACAACAAGGTTCCTGCCAACTGAACCACAGAGACATCGGAACAAGAAAGTGCCATCAACGGATTAAAGTCACAAAAAAACCCATCAATTGTATTCGGCCCGCAGAATCGCAGTTGACTCAAGTCAAGTGTTAAAATCAATGCTACAGAGCAACTCAATAGCCAAGATACCAGTATTAGTTTAATGCACAGCCCGTGGTTCATAATAGATACATAATGTAGAGGAGAACAGATGGCTAGATAGCGGTCATAGGACATCACCGTCAGAAGAAGACATTCAGATGTCACAGCTAAAGCAAAAAAATAATACTGAGTGATGCAGCCAGAAAGAGATATGGTGGCTTGTTCATGTAGTACAATATATAGCATGTTAGGGGTGATGTCTGTGGTCAAAATTAAATCAGTTAAAGACAGCTGGGTGAGGAAGAAGTACATGGGAGACTGAAGGGTCTTGCTGTAGGTCACCAGCTTGATGATCAGTAGGTTTCCACATATTGTCACAATGTATATTATAAGAAGTAATGTGAAGAGCAGAAGATTAAATCTGTTTACATTGTGGAACCCTACAAAGAAGATTGTGGTGACATTGCTCTCATAAACAGCCTGTGTGGCATGAAAAAAATATAATAAAATAATACATTTAATAATAAATCAGCATAGAAAACTCTCAGAATTAGAACATTATATAAACAATTAACTTGCTTCAAGAAATTAAGCAGGAAAAAGAGGAACTGGTTGAGAGTTGTTTCAAATGATTACACTGAAAGATAAAATTAAATGACTAATTAAAAATATATACGGTATGCTATAAATTATAATGGTCAAATAAAGATTGAAAAAAAAAATATTAAAGTGTATCTACCTAAAGAACTGAAACATAAAACCCAAGCCTCCCTTACCCCATGTAGGGTAGATTACTAAGGACACATTTGTAGATTACTAAAAGACACATTTGTAGTTCAATCTGGGTGACTATCACTGCTTCCTCCATGGATACAGTGCAGGAGTGATTGTAGCTGCTCATGGACAGGGAATTGTTACTGACAGGATTACCAATTGACTCATTTAGTGGCTATATGGTTAGCACTTCCACCTGGCAGTACTTGGGTCGTTGGTTCAAATCCCAGCCACGGCACCTCCTGCCTGGAGTTTGTATGTTCTCCCTGTGCCTGGGTGGGTTTCCTCCCACACTCCAAAGACATGCTGGTAGGTGAATTGGCTCCTGTCTAAATTGTCCCTAGTATGTGTATGGATGTGAGTTAGGGACCTTAGATTGTACACCCCTTGAGGGTTAGGGACTGATGTGAATGTACAATATATATGTAAAGCGCTGTGTAAATTGTCCCTAGTATGTGTATGTATGAATGTGTGAAAGTGCTGCGTAAATTGACGGCGCTGTATAAGTACCTGAAATAAATAAAATAAAGGAAACAAAAGGAAAAAACAAAAGTAATAAAGCCACCATGAGTATGGGTTAGACACAAGAATGGGATTTTTTTTTTCTTAAATTGCATTAAGCATTTTATTAGTAATTTTATTGGGTTCAATTAGCAGGTGCACTTTGTGAACACATCCAAAAGTCCTCAAATTGCAAAGTTTAATGCAAACCCCGCTAAAGTCAATGGAAGCCAAATCTTGAAAATCAATTCTCCCCATTTTCAAGACTAATGGGCAAGGAATTATAAGACAAATGGCATGGGACCCTGGGCACAACCCTAGGGAACATATACCAATACAAATTCTACAAAAACAATGGCCTTGCACCAGTGATCTTCTCCTCAATAGACTTTCACTGCAACTGCCAGATTCCCAGCTTGCAGCTGACTGTAAACAAAGAGGTGGGGATTCTGTCTGACTTAGGGTTTACTAGATATTGATAAATTTTACATTGGTGCCGCAAACCCTGACTTGTGATCTTTGCATCCTGTTTGAAGTGTACAGCTGGTCAGTGCAGTAAATACAGGGTGCAGCAACATAACTTCCTTTTTTGAAATGCGTGCCATTCAGGCTGTAGCGGCCATAGCGAGGCGGGGGTGGTCTCAGGTGACAGGCGTAGTTCTAAAGTTTTTTAAATCAATTGTTACGTGGGTCACTACGTTCAGACAAACCGCGAGTATGACAAGACGAAGAGCTGGAGTCCCTCGACCCATCAGATCACCTGAGAACATCGAAGCAGTGAGAGCTTCAATTCTTGCGATCTCCACAGCGTTCTGCGCGCAAACATGCATCTGCCCTTGGACTTTCGGATCGTTCAGTGAGGCGAATTCTTCACAATGACCTTCATTACCATCCGTACAAGTTTGCGATTGTGCAGGAACTCTCCGAACGCGACTTCAATTCTCGGAGGAACGCATGTGAGGCAGTACTCGAAAACGTCCCTGAGGACGCAATTGTTTTTTACAGTGATGAAGCCCATTTTCACTTGACTGGATGCATCAACAAACAGAACTTGCGCTACTGGGCTGACATTAATCCTTGAGAATTGCATCAAAGGCCTTTGCATTCATCTAAAGTCACAGTGTGGTGTGCAATTGCCTCAGCTGGGATTATTGGTCCCTGGTTCTTTGAAGAAAATGAGGTCACAGTGACAGTGAATTCAGACCGGTATGTGAACATGTTGGAGGAATTTGTTTTTCCACGACTTGATGAATTGGACTTAGGGGACATTTGGTTCCAACAGGACGGAGCAACGGCTCACACTTCAAGAGCATCAATGGCTGTTTTAAGGGAACACTTCCCGGAGTGCCTCATCTCAATAAGGGGCGATTTGGAGTGGCCAACCCGCTCCCCCGATTTGGCCCCTTGCGACTTTTTTTTGTGGGTTTTTTTGAAATCCCATGTTTATGTAAACCGTCCAAGGACCCTACAAGACCTGAAGGCCAACATCTGCGCAGAAATTGCCAACATACCCGCTGCTATGCTGGTAAGGGTCATGAAAAATGCCAGAAATCGGCTTATTCAATGTATGGACAATGGGGGGCATCACCTACCTGATATGATTTTCAAAACTGTGTAAAACAGAACTTTAGATATGTACCTACATTATTAAAGACAATAAAAACAATTCAGATTCATAAAATGGGTTTTATTGCGTTTTGAAAAAAGGAAGTTATGTTGCCGCACCCTGTACTAGCCAAATCATTTTTTTTTATTTTAAAAGATATTTAAACTCAAGAACAAAATATTTTACATATTGTTTCTTACCATGCTTTAGCCGTGAAGGCTCCTTTTTTAGGCTATGTACATTTACCATAAGTACAATCTATCCTGTCAGAAATCTAGTGAGCTTTTAGTTAGTCATTTTCTATGCACAGAACTGAAATCTCAACCAAATATCAGCCTTCTCAGATCTCTTCCATGAACTATGGAACACCTCACACCTATGCTATGCAAATGAGGAGAATTGTTTTGTAGGGTAGAAGCAGTGCTCCTCTATAGCTTTGGTACAGTAAAAGTGTGTTACTGGCAAGTGAAAATAAGGAAAAATATAGCCTGAAATAAAGAAAACTAATGCAGCTACTGAATCTAAGAACTGGCAATCTGCAATACAATACATTTTTGTTCTTGGGATTAGATACACTTTAAACCCCTCCCACCAATGGTACGCAGATATGCGGCCTCTCAGAAGTGGGCCATAATTCGTAAGGCCACATATCTGCGTAGCTGTCTTTGTGCGGGGAGTGTGCACAGAGACCAAGCTCTCACCAGGAGTCCCAGGTCTTGTACTAATGATCGGGACCCGGCACCCCCAGCTCCAAGTCACCTGATCACTGCGATAGCCTATGCTAAGCTACCACAGTGATCGGTCACTGTACAGTATGCCCATGGGTTTACTTTGTCTTCTGAATGGAGAGAAAGATACATTGTATACATACAGGGTACACTATATAATACAGTACATTGTATCTTTCTCTTCTTGTAGGAGATGAAAATGTGGGTAAAAAAGTGTGTAAAAAAAATGTAATTAAAAAATATTTAAAAAATAGCTAGCACAGGGTTTTATCTAGGTTAGAGGTCTCCAAACTGGCCAGATGTGGCCTTTTGCTTGCTTTTATCTGGCTCTTAGAAGGCTATTAATTCCACTGACACCAATGATGGGGAAATGTTCCTCCCACTGACACCAATGATGGGGAATTATTCCTCCCACTGACACCAATGATGGGACACTATTCCTCCCACTGATACCAATGATGGGGCATTATTCCTCCCACTGATACCAATGATGGGGCATTATTCCTCCCACTGATACCAATGATGGGGAACTATTCCTCCCACTGACACCAATTATGGGGAACTATTCCTCCCACTGACACCAATGATGGGGAACTATTTCTCCCACTGATACCAATGATGGGGAACTATTCCTCCCACTGACACCAATGATGGGGAACTATTCCTCCCACTGATACCAATGATGGGGAACTATTCCTCCCACTGATACCAATGATGGGGCACTATTCCTCCCACTGATACCAATGATGGGGCACTATTCCTCCCCCTGATACCAATGATGGGGCACTATTCCTCCCACTGATACCAATGATGGGGCACTATTCCTCCCACTGATACCAATGATGGGGCATTATTCCTCCCACTGACACCAATGATGGAGCACTATTCCTCCCTCTGATACCAATGATGGGGAACTATTCCTCCCACTGACACCAATGATGGGGAACTATTCCTGCCACTGATACCAATGATGGGGAACTTTTGCTTGCTTTTATCTGGCTCTTAGAAGGCTTTTAATTCCACTAACACCAATGATGGGGAAATGTTCCTCCCACTGACACCAATGATGGGGAATTATTCCTCCCACTGACACCAATGATGGGACACTATTCCTCCCACTGATACCAATGATGGGGCATTATTCCTCCCACTGATACCAATGATGGGGAACTATTCCTCCCACTGACACCAATTATGGGGAACTATTCCTCCCACTGACACCAATGATGGGGAACTATTCCTCCCACTGATACCAATGATGGGGAACTATTCCTCCCACTGATACCAATGATGGGGAACTATTCCTCCCACTGATACAAACAATAGGGCACTATTCCTCCCACTTATACCAATGATGGGGCACTATTCCTCCCACTGATACCAATGATGGGGCACTATTCCTCCCCCTGATACCAATGATGGGGCACTATTCCTCCCACTGATACAAACAATAGGGCACTATTCCTCCCACTGATACCAATGATGGGGCACTATTCCTATGATACCCTGGGG